TGTGTACTTTAGAGGTTAGACTGTTGGCTCTAACAACATCCTGTCAAGTTTGTCGGCCCTGTCGTGTATCGGGGGCTGTTGTTGTTATCGTTGTGTCCTGTGTTTTGTACAATTCCGTGAAGTCGAACATTTATTATTGTAAACATTCATTAATTCTATTGTTGAGAAACAGACAACAGATATTGTCTAAATTAATGAAAGAACGTATCAAGAGTTTATCTAGTAAAAACTTTATATATCTTTCAAATCATACATAGCAGTAATCATATACGTTATGTAAGTAATTGCATTCTAAAGTTTTTGCTAAACTCATCGTTGACGCCTAACAAAGTACTGTTGACTGCACAGCGCATTCAAGTATTTAATCAATGCTGAGCGAAAGCCTCATCACACATGGAAAAAGTTTGAGCATTAATCACCACATTTGTCAAAAGATACTAAAAATCATAAGTCCAAGTTTCGTTACAATATTCTCATTCACCCGTTATCAGTGCTGTCTACATATGTTTAGAAAGTACATACATAGCCCGGAAAAAGTCACATCCGTACTAATTACGTATCCATCCCACCAGCCTTGACTTCCTTGAGACACCACAACTTTATTATTTAGGTATTTAAATGTTTGAAAATAATAACTAACACGTTATATGTATGGGCCTCATGAAATATTTTCCTCGGCAATAAGTTATAGACGGCATATATGTAAATCAATGAATGTAAATCACCATAGCAACAACAGCTTGCAAATGGGTTCCACACTTTGTATAACCCAATGTTCGCCTGCTGGCTCATTAATGACGATAATATGAGTCAATGTTGTAACTAAACCCACTACCTTATAATCAATTACCTAGACACTATAATTAAATATTAATTATACTACAATTTTATTTAAGATAAGTTTTTGCCTGATATGCTCAGCAATGAAGCGTCCGCACGAACTACGAGGGATTATTAAAATCACTTTTTAAATCACTCCCGAAGGAGTGAAGGGATCAATTCATCCGACGGCCGCGTTAAGCTGCTTTGCGATGAAAACATAAAACTTTCGGGCTTAAATGTAGAGGGTGCTGGACGCGGTCAGTGCCGGCCGCCGAGCCATATTCCGGCTACTTACAGCCTTTCAGGCTCAGATTTCAAGTGTTGCAGCTGCAGCAAGTCATCGACTGTTACATTTACATTCCAATTAGGGACTGAAGAGCACTCGTTATGATTTAACAGCGCAGCCCAGCATCGGGAGCTTATTGTTTCATTGTTTTTGTATTTCATTGTAGTCGCGAATGCTGTTGTTACAATCCGGCCTTCCGCACTTATGAAAATATTAAAAAGTACTTGCTTTTATATTTGTTTCAATTGAAACAAATATAAAAGCAACTTTTAATTCCCTTGTGTGCGTGAGTTAATATATTGCAATAATAAGTTAGTGTGCAGGGCTACACACAAGATTGTGGTCGAATAGACGGCATGGTGATGGTACTTAGAAGTGTAGACAGGGCGCGCGCCGCCGCCTGCTACTGCTAGTTCAAGTAACCCCACCCAGCTACTGACACTCGTGAATAATGTATTGATGGCCGAACTAATCGCTTTGTAATATGATCCGATATTGAACATTACACCATTTGTTTATATCGCTAGCTCCTACATTATTTACGTACGGCGTCGTTACACACAACTTGCAAGAATTTTATATTAATACGTGGGTACACCAGTTCCATGTGTTCCCGCACGAAATATCATAAACTGATCCCTTGACGGAGGTAATGTAATGTACCCAGGGAGACATGTTACTACGCTAGTACACAAATACATTGAAAAGTGCGGAAACAAACACAACCCTTTCCGTTACGGGATAAAAGAAGACATCATGTGTACGCATTTAATCAGTTTGAAACTTAGGAGATGGAAGGAACTAAATACGTGAATAGAAAATGTGTTTGACGTAAAGTTTACCGAGGGGCACTGATATAAATAGTTGGTAATGCCGACGCGACGAGTTCCCGACGTGGGGAGGACTTGCAAACTAAAGTTGTCGGGAGCCGGGAGTCAGGCCACAGAGCTACTTGCCTTTGAGACACACTCGAGCAAGTAAACACAGCGACAGTGCTATCTGTAGTGCGAGCGAGTCATTCAGGGCATGTTGCAGATATTTGATCGGTTTTACTCCAACCTGTTATTTTGTTCTATTTCGTAGTTCGACCTATTTTCATTACCATTTATTTCAGTAACAGACACAGAAAAAGCACATTTTTCAGTTTTACCTCGATGTACCTGACTCGGGCATTTCTTTCATACAAAGCTTACGTGAGATCAACAAACGTATGGTGGATGTCAGTGGAAACGATCTTAAACGTAGCGCGTGAGGTGCGCGGTCTGTGCTGGCACAAATATGGCGCAGGGCGAGGTCACGAGTGCTTGTTGCACTACTGTTGAAAGGTTCAAGAAAGACCATTAATGTATCATCAAGTGTAAGCAGACAAACGTCGGATCGCAACTTAACATCTGTCAACAATGAGACGATCTTTACTGAATCTACTGAATATTAAGATGTGAAGAATATAGTCTAAATATTCAGTAGATTCAGTAGGATTGCGCAGACTTTCCATTATGCCGGCGGGTGCTAGTAGAGAGCAAACAACTCAATCAGTTCTTTGTGCTGAAGCCGTGAATGTTGTCGTAAATCCATCATGGCGGTCCACTAACACCGCTTGCGAGTGATGTCGCGCGAAATTTACGTGTGTAGCACGCGCATTAAGCGCACCACCCAAAGTGTTCGAGCGAATATTGTGTTATTGTTGCCCTACTTGTGTCTCGGGAAACTCATTCAGATTACGTCTATTTATAAAGTTGCCAACACATTCGATGCTATACGAGTACGAGTGCTACTAATCTGCTTTTCATCAATCATCCAATGCAAACCTAAAACGTGAAAGTGTCACGTCTCTTCTAAATACGAACTTCATTCATTCATTCACTTCATTTCCGTAATAATTCGGCTTGATGAAACTTTCGTTGCATCTCCCGAGCGGTGCAGTCCGGGCGACTATTACTTACTACTATAATTATCGGACACTATTTACTAATATCATTTGTAACAAATGCGGAAAAATTTTAAATTTTGTAGCTTCTTGATGGACATCATCATTAATGTTATTCACAAAACATTCCTTTAAAGTTATTGCGCTCTTTGTTTTGGCTCAGCTCTTCACGGCTGATAATAGTGCGCGGCCAAACTGAATAGCACAACAGCCAGGGAACCCATCGAGTGTTTCAAACAAAAATAAATAAACAAGTTTCTCATTTTGTTTCAACTTTAGCAGGTCGTGCTCGACTCGAGTCGGCCGGTACTCCGCGACTCAGCCTTGCGCGACTCTCACTCGGGAACAATACCGGTTCCCGGAAAATAACTGTCAAACACAAAAACTCGAGCAACTTTTGTAAACGTGAAAAGCCTTTTGCGAGAAAATGTCCAAAGTCATTCATGTCATGCACATTCTGCTTTGAATTGAACGTGAAAATTGAAATGTAACTTTCTAACGTTTGCGGGCAAACAATTGTTTCAAATTAAAAGGTGCGCCTGCAACTGCTGCAGTTTGTGCACGAAATAATCAAGTGCTCCGCAGCTCATTGCTTATTTACACTGCCCGCCTCCGCCTGCCACTGCTGCGTGACCTTTATGCTAGCTTTCCGTTTATTTAATATGCAAGCTGGCTATTTATATTTGTTTGCCGTTATGTCCTAGACTTGTATTGTCTGTGGTGACTAGCTGGAGTATCAGACGCTGCAACACTACGACGGGACATGGAATGATTACCGCGCCGGAGCCCGAAGCACTGGGGGTGCCGGCCGTCACTTGTCTTCCGCCGGACAAGTCATTTGTCTCCCGTGATCCTCAGAGGCGTGATGATTAATGAGCCCAGGCTTTGAAGACGAAACGCGAATATTAAAACGATATCAAAAACGTCGACAAGGAAAATAAGTGCGCTATTAGGAATCTGTCAGATTAAATAATGGCCACGTAGTAAATATGTTTCGGGTGTAGTCGGCTCCGAACATTTATTGTTAAACTTTAGTTGTTACACAATGTTACTCCCGACGTCGATACAAGTTAATGAACAATGTTGATGCTTTTTTCTAGTTTAAATTATACATTAAAAGATTAAGCATCCTTTGCAGTTAAGCTTCTAAAAACTGAGACACGGAAACACTGTCGGTAGAGGTACTGTTGTCCAAACTACCTGCACTACTACATGCAACTCTAACATGTAGGGTAAGCTACATAATATTGCAATGGCAATGAATTTCAATGTTACCTTTTTGGTAGGTAATGGCAGCTATTCAGTTTTTTCCGCCACACTTTATCAAAGATGGTTAATCTAGCTTTCTTTAATGCAGTTCAGGCCAGCTGCTATGTAACGTGACGTCGCTAAGATTTTTTTCTTCAAACTTTTATATATTTAAACAATATTTTACCAAACTAAGACGAACGTGGGAGAGTAAAAACGTAGCGAATAGGAATACCGGAGCTATTTATATATAGGCAATTACTCATTGCGCAAAACTGTGCGTAATTCGTGCACAGCTTAGGTTTGCAACATCATTTTTGTATAATAATTCACATCAATAAATCACTGAACGGAGAATACGTGGCGGAATAGATTGCACAATTTGTTGATTGAAATATTTATATTAGCATGGACGCGATGTTTGCCGATCTGTACATACAACTGTTTTATTTATGTAAATATTTATGATGTAAAATAAGTTTAGTCAAAATGCAGACAGAGTGGGACCACAGACTTATGATTCTATTTGGAATTTACAGCAAACCTGGCCAAGTACATACATGGTAATGCGTTAACATGTAGTAAATGGATTCCACTTCAGTTATAGATGAGCAATCTCCCTGTAGGTTACAACAACACTGATATTGTTTATTGTTAAGTAGGTTGTAGGTGTACTGTTTGGAACTACGCATCAATTCAGGTTCGTCCATGACTTACCTTCGGTCAGCAGTGGCTGTACATCGGCATCAGGTCTCCCGGCGGGGCAGAGAGGCAGCGCTGGCGACGAGGATGCAGCGCCGCCTTCTGCTTCCACCTGCACACACAGACACACGACGTTATAATGTGCTGGCTTGCGAAATAGAAAGAGTTTCGCAATCGCATGTAAAAATGGGGGCATGTCTATACGCACACAAATCAGGTATAATACCAGACTCCGCAATTTTATTATGAATTTTTAAAACCACTGACTGGTCTGACTAACCGTGGCGTGTCTTCAAGTCACGGCAGGTCTCGGCCCAGTAATGTCACATTATACAAGCCCGTGCCCGTGCCGTATTGACATTTCACAAATTGTTTCAAATCGAATAAGTATTCCCCGTCCATTGACTTGCACGCCAGTCGTTAATGTAATAACGTGGCTGGCACGGAGCATTAATGGAAAGCACCATTTTACTCGTATGAAAAGGTTTGTTTACATCTCAAAGTAAATTTCGTTTTTCAATAAAGGAAAACGTAGTCTAATCTGTTCGTAATCGGCATTAAGAACAAGAACCCGAGGGGACCGCCACAACACGAAGTTGCTGAGCCGCTCGTCTCCGTTCGATAATCAAAACAGTTGAGAGAGGAGCGCGACGCCGAGACCCGGGTGTTTTCTCCGTTTTAAAAATAAAACAGAATTAGTTTTCCTTCTTATTTCGGCGTTGTACTCCGCTTTACTTGTGCAGCCCCGTGAGACACAATTTAACTTTGCTGAGAATTACCGACGTGGGGGGAGACACCTCCAAATACTGCCGCCGCTGTATTCATGGCATATAAATAATTTATAACTAATCACGGGAAATGGACACAAACCTATAATTATAACAACAATTGATTCATTGCTGATACTGATCCGAATGCGAAATATTGCCTGTTTTACGTAAACTGTTTAGCTAATGTCTGTGGAGGTATACTGTATTATGCTTGGTAGCAACGCACGAATTGTTTAATTCTTCGATGTTTGTTTACCTGTATGACATTTAATTCGTACCATTCGCCAGGCTCGCCGGCCGGGGTACCGGGCGACATATGGTCACGAGGAGCGCGTCAAACACCAGGTCCATAGCCAACACAGCACGGCACGCCTCTAAGGGAGCGCGGTCGCGAGCCGCACGAGCACACACACCCACACATAATACGCACGTTGCACGCTTGACCGCACCAACACTACCATTTTCCTCGCGACTGTACCAACGTCTCTGAGGAACTCGCTGTTCATGTTTGCGCACTATAACATGTCCACCGCACGAATTACAGTTTATTCCAATTTATTTCTACTTTAACCAAAAATGAGTATCTAACGTCACTGTGACGCTGTCAGCACAGAGCACAGACTGCTACCGAGGAGGTCCAGTGTATAAATGACTTCAGTATAATAGTTTGCTTCGTGGCAATTCTCTGTCCCTCACGCCTCACCTCACAGTAGGTGTATCAAATAACGCGATGTTTTGTTACTTCTCAAATTCATGCGATCCTACAAAACTGTTTTATTTTTGTTCTGTTTAATATTTCATTTGCTTGGAAGTCTTACTCAGCAATTCAATAGCAAATAATTATTGTACTGCTTGCAAAATGTACCAACGCGCCAACTTGTACCCGATAAGGACAGCTGTAGTCACTGTGGTTGGCTCTTAAGTATATTTTTTAATTTTATAAATTGCGTTATGGTTAAAAATGTACAGTACAGATTATCATTTCCAACCATGGATCTGCTGATGAAATAACGTAGGACTGAGACACAATGTGGACCCAATACAACAAACTCATGAGTAATTTATTAGAGTCATGTTTGATGCGGTCATTCGTTACAAGTTATTTATTATCTGACGAATGCTATCAGTAGAGCGGTGTCAATATATCTGCTAACGTTTTGGAAAAAGCGTAAATTTTATCTTTATATCCTATCGACGCCAACTACATATTTAACAGGATAATCATGTCACTGTAATCGAGGTGATAAGTCGGTATCGAGGCTGTCCTCAAAACCTGCATAGTACTTAAACAAATCAGGACTTTGTGTGTGTTCACCCTTTAATATTCATTTGTTAGTTTAGTTGCATTCACAATCATTTGCCGTAATTATAAATATCTTTGATTTAGAAGCGCAGTGTGAAAATGTTGAATTGGAGCGCAATTTAAGTCACGAATAGGAAATGGAGTGCGGCGCGGCGCTACTGCTTCTATCATTTGCTGAACAACTTAAACCATTTTCTTGATTTAATTGAAAGCAATGCCTCGAACAAAAGAAACTTTATAAGTTCAGTGTTACTAGCAAGAAAGAAGCTCATTTTACTAAGTCGACTGCATTGAACACTTTGTCTTCTGAGTCGTCATAAATAAAATTTAGGAGTGTACCTACAGAAAATGACTACGAGATCCTTCGACTTAGGAACCACAAGATAATAGGTGACCGTGCCGCCCTGTATAAATGGCTCCCACGAGCAAGCAATGAAGCGAGCACGTAAGACAGTTGCCAGCAATTTAACGGAGTTTATTAGCTCGAGGGCAGCTTGTTACACTCGGCAGTGCCAGTCACCACCGGCCCTCTTACAGCAGGCTACGGGCTAGATGTTGAGCTCAACCTCTACAGTCATTACCTCTAAGCCTTTTGTGTCACGCGCTCCTCCACTCACATCTCATCTAGTTTATCTTTAATATACAATATTTACAAAATCCAAACTAATATTATATATGCAAAAGTAACTCTGTCTATTAGTTTGTCTGTCTGTCTGTCTGTCTTTTCTTCACGCCTAAAATATTGAACTGATTTCTGTATAAGTATATTTGGTACAGACATAGTTGGGACTCCATAAAGGACATAGGATAGTTTTTATTCCAAAAATCTGCAGGAGATCATTATTTCACGCGAAAGAAAAAGCTAGTGTCCATAGAAGCTTTTGTTTAAAAAACTAACTAAAATATTAATGTCCGTGATAACCACTATATGTACCGACTCCATAATGTACCTAAGTATAGTTGGCTCCGCCCCGGGCTAAGCAGCGTAATAGGTTTCTTATATAAGCTATTGATACAGTTTCGGAAGCTATCAATGCTAACATTGACTTGCTACAAGTTTCGATATTACTGCAAGTATTAGGTAAACTCCTGCTTACATCTGTACTCCTGGTAACAGCTTCCTTAATGTTTGTACGATAATTTGCAATTAATTAATAGTAAACAAGTGATGGATTCTGGTTCTCCCATACATTGTACATAGTTATGTAATTACGTTTAAATTCCGAAACACTTCTTGTACGTAAGTAAACAAGGAGCAAGTAACGTTGCCAGTGACATAATGATGGTGTTTTTCTTTCTTCACACAACATGTGTGCCTTACTCTTGACTAAATGTGTTAGTGCTTTGTGGAGGCCCCTCAGTTACCATGCCGGGGAGACGCGTGAGACTAAACACAGCGCCATGCAATATTCATCAACAAAGTTCAACAATGAGATGCAGATTCAATGTTTTAAAAGCTATCAGTTAATAAATAGTACTTGCAGTATTTTCTGCAATCCCTACTGACAGCATCAACAACCCACAATTTACACGGGTCACATCAACCCAGTAAACTCATGATTCCTGCGGTTGTAATATTTTGAACAGTAAGTTACCATATTAAATTCTTCTCAAATTGTTAACGAAACATTAATTTATTGCCAGCCCTAAGTCCGGCCGAAGCCAGGGCTGCCCTAAATCACAGCTGAACGGTCTTTATCTAAATGATTTCGTTTCGGAGGTCACTCAGGAACACGTAATGCTGCGAGAGGGAAGGTCAACGCGATATTAAGATAATAAGATTGTATCTGGAATATTTTGAAACGTGTTGTTTGCAACTTTGCAACCAATGACCATTAAATTAATTATATCATTTAAAGCGATCAGATGCAATACCATTAGACACTATGATACTGTATATGTCTTTTATGATTCGACAATCGAACTGAGTGCAGTTACTCCCCCCTCGTTCGTGTTGCACTCCATGCATGTATCGCGCCGTGTCTTGCTTGCCTCCAAGAGGGTGCACAGGCACCGCACCGGCAGCTGCTATGTTGAATACATTTACCTCTGAAACCTGATACAGTTGTGAGCGTCTCGTGCCGGCTCCTTGCCTGAATACTATTCAATAGTAATTACAATCTGATAATTGTAGCTTTGTGTAGCAGACATGCTTGCTTTGTGATGTTAGCGCTTACATTCGTTTCAAAATTATTAATATAGCTATGGGGTAAGTTTCAGCATTTAACTCGGTAAATTATGTTCTGTAATATTTGGGAATATGTTAATAATAAAGAGAAAGCCAATATTCAAAGGTTGGAGTTGGCAGTACGTCAGAGCTGACATTATGAACAACTAAGTTTGGTTGGAAGTCACTGGCAAACTTAAATAGGACGTGACAGGTGGGCACGGCAGTGACGCGTCGAGATGTCGTGTGACGTCATCACGTGCTCGACACCAAATCTAATTGTACAACCATCTGGTGCGACCGCGGCAGGTTATGATGGAATTTAAGCTCTGATACTTTTGCTGCTATAATACAATATTATTATTAAATGCTGAGTTTTACTTGTACATCATTTAATTGAGCACATACGGAGTACCTAGTGAACAACAAGCAACAAGCAATATTTTAACAATATTGGTGTATGTGTGGGTCCTTGAGTTTGTCGGTCCAGTTAAAAAGCAAGGTAAGTAGAGTACAGATGCATCAATGTTGGTGGCACTGCTACGGGTTGCCGGCGGCGACGGTAGGCCACGTCACAATGAATGCAATAACGGTCCCGCGCCCTGGTGCTGCGCCTACTGGGCTTCATTTGATTGTCTGCTGCACCACTTCTTACTCCTCGATTGATCTCGATATCTTCCAGTTTATTGAACTGCGATAACCTCATAAAACAATAACCTTTCAGATGTCTCTATTTATCTAAACTTTGGCACATAGTCATACATTTATGTTTTAATACATCAAACGTACAATCCACTTGATACATATTATTAATCATGATAAATGTGTTTTAAAATTCTATTCTATTTTGTAAAGCCGAAGGTTCATCTTAA